TAAGTTTTGCTTGTCCACTTGTATCAACCACTTCTTCCACGCTAAATTGTGTTCTGCAAGCTGCGTGAGCGCGCGGGGAAGGCAGGGAAAGCCCCGATTGCATTAGGAGTTTTGATTGTGCAATCCAGTGTTAGTGATGAAAATTAATGAATGGGCAGTTGCCGGTGCTTTGTAGGGCGGGATGCCAGGTTACTAGTCCAGCCCTGCTAACCGAGGGATTCCCTGCTCAGGATGGCCTTTGATGGCTGCATGTAAGAGTCACTGGTGATGCTGTGATCCGCTGACCTTTGTAAAGTTTATTTCCGTACAAATACAATACAATCAGTTACAACGAGGTTACAACTGCCTCGGGGCACTTTCCTGGAAATTTACCTAAACAACACATACAATTATGGCCGCGTGTGGAGCACAGGTGCTGTGTGAAGAACTGATTGTCTCCCAAAAGGTGATTTCTAATGTTTTGATGGGGCGAGGGTTTATGTGTAATGTATTGACTTATATTGATGAATAGACTTTAGTGAACAGGTTATTAAAGTGCTACATGTAAAACCAGTAGTTCATGTATATTTCCTTTTGGCCAATTAAAAACTTCTTTATATAACTATTGTTATATTTGCTGCGATTTCTGCTGCCCTCTTGTCCAGATCTCTCTTTAAAAAGACATAATATCAGTGAGAACTTTTAACTGGATAAATAAAGGATGCCACTTCACCAGAGACGGATTGCGGCTTCCAACGCGTGACTGGAATGTTGTTTGTAGCTCAAGATGAATTTATATCATTCATGGATATCTTTGACATATATTTCACATTTTGCAGGCCAACAAGTCATTTACAGCAGTTTAAATACGGATAATCCCTTTTTGGTAGACGATCACGTTTTGGCACACCTGCACGCGGCTGCTCCGATACAAAACAGTGGAGCGTAAAAACATCAATTCACTTATTAGGAATGCGCCTCTCACCATATAAAGGAGAGAGGCACAGAAAACAGCAAAAAAAAGACAAACTTACCAGATCTTTCACTTCGTGAACCATGATACCAGCTGATGAACGTGCCTCGGACAGAACTAAGTGCCAGCAGACGCCCCACGC